GGGTAATTATAACAATAATATAACTTTGAAATTTGTATGCTTTTAGGGTAATTATAACAATAATATTACTTTGAAAACTTGGAAGAAATATTGCTTTAGTGTTTATTTGCCTATTGACAAATGCATATTTTATTTATATACAAAAAGTTGTGAGAAATAAACCTTTTAAAGGCGGAAATTCTGATTATCCATATACTTTTTCTATTTCATGGAAGTCGTCACACTCATTCAATAGAACATTCTAAGCAAAAGGCACGAAAATTTATTCGCAATATTTGTGGAGAAATGATTGATTGTACACCCCCTTTTCAGAAGAGATGGGTGGATTGATAAAGCCGTATATAAATGCAGAAAAAAAGTTTACAAGAATATGTCAGTACTTGAAACATCAGGGTTTGTGAATAAATATTAACGGAAGTAAGCACATTAATATTTTGCAACGGTAATATGAATTGATTGTTTCTTCTGGTTACTGCTTTTTTAAGACGCAAGTAAAAAGTTCCAATGTCAGTTTGCTTGCACAAAACTTTGCAGGCTAGCTTTCAATCCAAAGTTTTGCATAATGGAAAAGATAATCTTTATACTGTGTGACGTTCGTGGCATCAGGCAATAATTGCGATTGTCCTTTGGAATTAAAAAGAATGGTACATTTGGAAGCATGTTTACCTTTGTATTAAAATGTGTAATATTATCGATCGACGCAAATGATATCACAATTTTGTATATACCTGAGTGCGAAGCAAATAAAAAAAAAATAACCTGTCTATATTTTCGAAAATGCCCAGGCATTTTAATGAACTCTACGTAAAAATGTCCATAAATATACCACTAACAATATTGAAGCAACAACCGTTAGAACCATAATACCAATCATTAGAATTTTTTTCTTGCTTTCTTCTTCTTTTGCATGTCCGTCATCTTTTGCAGACGTTATAGCAGGTACAGGACGATTGTTGAGGGTTTCCGATGCATTGCCTGTCAATTAAAGTCAATTAAAAACTTAGATATTAATATTGAATATCATTAAAATCGATTTCTATTAAATACAAACCTCTTACAATCTCAGAAGTGGGATCAGGTGCCATGTAGGGGTAAGGATACTGTGTCGACCGGTCATACCCATCCAGTGCTTCAGGCAAACGGAAATCCGTAGGTAATTCAGTGTGAAATAATATTTTACAATTTGTATGAAAACCTAGTTATCAATATTGGATATTATTAAAATCGTTTTTTTAATACAAAGCCCCTGAAACCTTAGAGGTGGGATCAGGTGTCATGTAGGAGTAAACATACCTCGTCGACCGGTCAAACCCGTCAACATTCGGCATAATGATATATTTTATTTGCCATCAAGGTCATTGTATCGACCATAGAACTTGCGAAATGTTAACTTCAAACGATATTCTTACGTCATAATCTTGTTAGTCAATAGTGTGCCATCTTTTGAAAAATATTTGTACGAAGAGCATGTTCTTGCATATTGAATCTGGAGACGTAAACTCTATATGCAGGTGATAATGGTATATCCCTACATGTGTAAGGGAATAATAATAATTATCCAGTGAAGTTTTGTACTTTAATATATATTTAGTGGTGTCTTTGCAAACTCGGTCGCCACAGACTGAGAATGTTTGCACTTATATATCACTCAGTTATTTTAAGGAAGGAAATAGAAAATGCGATCTTAAAACCTTCTTAAGACGTATTATTTTTAAAAATAAATCTTTATAACATATGAACTGTATACATGAAGGAAAGCTAACATAGATATCCATAATAGATAGGTTTGTGTCGTACTCACGTACTCATGATCAGTACCAGTTAAATATAAATCATTACCGGTACCAATTCTGGTGCACCAGGCCCCAGGATAAAGAAACAGGCTTAGACGTAAGTCAAATTTTCAATTGCCTGTAAAATATTTATTAATAATTGAATTGATCTCTAAATTTGCAGATAACAACACTTTTGTATAGCAACATTGAAAAATATTTTAATTTTTGTCTGTTTGACGTTTACAACATTTTAGTACAAAGAAAATATTTTAACTTAAGCTTAAGATGTTTCGTGATCCCGGGGCCAGATGCGCATTTTGACCAATTATGTCTCTTCAGTGATGCTCAAGTCAAAACGTTGGAAATCCAAAATATTTACATAAAAAAGACTTGGAGGAGCTGAAAAAAATATGTCAAAGGTTGGAGTCAAATATGTCGAAGGATCAGAGCTATGCATTTCGTTTATCAGCTGTTGTCATGTGACTGGTATAGAAGTAGAATTGTTCAACTGAATGTAGAAAATGACGCCAATGCAAGGGCATACGCATGTTTTGGAGGAAAAAATGATACATATTTAAAAAGGATTTACATCGGATATCCGAAAAGTGCTGGGAGTTAGTTTGAGCTGTTTCGGAAATACTCGTAATTTTGCAAAAAATGCGTACAATAGTTAAAATTCCCACGTCGCTTGAATTCTATTATGAATAAAAATAATGTTATACCGACCAGAATCAGCTCCCATCGCTTTTTAAAACATACATGTACATGATATAAGCAATAGACATACATGAACAATATTTCAGCTCAAACAGTCTAATCTATGCCCTTGTACTTTTAAGGTTAATTAGGAATACACTTGTCGTGTTAGGTCATTCCAAGTTTATTGTATGTTTAGCGTTTGCGAGGGCCTTGGTTTTTAACTCCCCATGTCAGAAGAAAGAAACAAAATCAGGAGTCCTGAAATTGATTCTTCTGGTCGAAATCACTGAATTCTGTCGATTTCTCTAAATATTTGTCTACAGTATATTATATTAGGAATATAGTAAGCATTTTAGAATTCCTTGATTTTGCTAAGGAATAGATATTTCTGCAAGAAAAATAATTTAATGAAATCAATTCCTTTGGATGACATCATTTTTATGACTACATGTATAAAGTCTTGCGTTTTATTATTATTTTTTTTTTTTAAATTAATTTATTTATTTTTATTTTTATTTATTTATTTATTTATTTATTTTTTTTTTTTTTGGTTTGCCTGTTTTTTGCGAATAGGTAGGTAGGTTTTTGAAAGATGGGTAGACGCTAAACAGAGAAAAAAAAACTTGGAATGGCTCTAGCGATATTCTTTACATTATTTGTCGTTGTACAACTCCACAGCACCTATATACGAGGGTTGTCCAAAAAGTTCGTGGACAATGGCGTTTTTGTTAAAATGAATGGTTCAAGATATGCTTATTGTATACCAAAATGTTAGTTATGAAAATCCAAGTAGGAATAGTTTGGTTTTTATTGTTTGAACTTAATATTTTTGTAAAAATCTCGGTCATTAAAGGTCGCCGATAGTGCGCACGGACCAGGGTTAAAATGCCATGAACTTTTAAATAAAGTGATCTGATTGAAATGATTATTTTCTTTTTAAAACGAGTCAAAGCTGAAAAAAGATTTAATATCTCACAAATAAAGCGGTTATCGCCATTTTCTGATACCTTTAGTATCGCTTACTAAACAGACAATGAAAATATTAAGTGAAAACCGCAAGAAGTATGTTTCAAAAATTGACAAAAAAAGCGACGTCGGCCATCCGAACGGGACAGCGTCCAATCATACAATTATGGTTAATATGGTTGAAACGTCGTCAAAGACAAAATATTTATTCAAACAACTTGAATTTATTTGAAAATATTTATTCTAGTGATTTGTAATTGGTGTATACGATTTTCAACGAAATGTAAAATTTCGGGAGTCACTATAAGAATTGGAAAACCACTGTTATTTGATGAAAATAGGATATATTCCTATTCATGACGTTTGTATAAATATAGCGCCGTCGGGCTGGGCTGTGCATTTTGTGTTTACGAAGTGTTAATATTGATGACGCTCGTAAATTATTGTGTATTGTTTTGAATTTTAAAATTTAAATTATTTAAAATCTATACATAAATATTATTGCACACATTTGGCAATGTGGCATAATAAAGAAAAATAGCTTGCGTCTATGAACATGCGATAAAAATTCAAAATTCATATTTCTGACGTTATCATGAAATAAGCGTTACGTCAGACTGGCCCGTGCGACTTGCATATACAAAGTATTTACACCTATAATGTTCAGTAAATAGTGTGCATTGTTTTTATTTTTTGTACATTTACTCAATCATGGTCTATATTAAGATATTATCGTACATGTTTGCCATTGCGGACTTTATGAAGAAAATTAAGCATTTGTCCACGAACTTTTTGGACAACCCTCGTATATTGATAATCTACACACATGTAATTGTTTCAAATATTTTTTTTCCTTTTAATTGTATTGATTAGATTTAAATGTTGGCGATGGTTTTATATTTATTTAAGCATTTTTCCAATTATTAAACCACCCAATGGATCCACTCCTCTGCATCCATTGTACTCCGTCATGCCAAGGCTAGTGGCGTCATTTATGACACAATATTTGCTTCTAATTACTCGGTAGTTTGTTATCAAATGTGATTTTACATTCATTTAAATATAATTGATAAAATAAATGAATACAAGTTGTTATTTACTCATCATCATATGGTTAAATTGATTTTTGTTATTTTTTTAATGACATAATGAAACTTCCTATGCGGTGCATCACAAATGTGAACCCAGGCCTTCCTTAACGTAGCTGAGTAAGCCCATTGAAGTCTTATCTTTAAATAGATAACGTATCCTCCAGGAATATTTAGTTCCCTGAGTTTTTTTTTTTTTCTGTATTATATGTGGGTGTCCTTAGTAAATAAAATATATTAGAATGTAGAAAATAATTCTCACTAACTAATGTATAACGTCTTTAGGTCAATTGGTATTTGTAGTGATATTAAAAAATGATATTGTTTAAAGCCATTTCTGATTCCTCAAACTTTACGTGTATATTTTCTTGATAAATAAACATACATTATGTTGTTTTCAAAGCATGCTTGCTAATATCCTATTTCATATCAATGACTTGACTTAGATACATAAATTTTACCTTCTGTTTTTGGGCTGATAGAAGAATAAGCATGAAAGACAGGACTCGTGATGTATTCTTCAATGAAAGTTGATGTACCTGAATCACATAACTTTGCATCACATGATGAAAAAGTATGGACAATGACAACAATGTATAAAAAGCAACAGTGAAGTATAAATTAACAGAGTTAATATACTTTACAAAGGATGTTGTGTTGTGTTGAATAACCAAGAACCAAAGAAAGAAATATCATTTTAGTGCCCAATAGAACTTCAAGTACATTTCGGGGATAAAAATTATTGTATTTGATACATGATCATTCTTACAAAAAGCATTTATCCTTGATATATAAATACCTGTACATCCAAGTTTAATGTCACAATGATGCTGTTCACAAATGCATTTCTTCTGGCATTCCTTACCAAAAGCTGGATACGGACATGGTAGCTCACAATAAAGTCCAATTTCTCCATCTTCACACTCTTTTAAATATTTGAATAAAAAATTTATAGATTGCTTGAAAATGAATAACAAATTTACCCGTCTATACAAAACTCAGAGAAAACAAGCAATATAAAATCGAATAAAGCAATTAAAGCATCCTATGTTATATATCCAACAAACACAATAAAATAGTTATACTATCAAATTTAAGAAAATGGTTTTAAAATGGTTTTCTTTTCGTTAATTAAAAGTCTAAAAGAAAAGTTTAGTGTAATGAAAATAACGTATGACTAAAACATTTTATTTAATGAAATAAAGAGAATTAAATGCAGAATCACTTAATCAGAATGGAAATATGAAAGGTGTTACCTGAGGGATGTTTTTTGCAACCATAGATGTGGTGACAGTCCTGTTTTGCACAATGGCATATCAGCTCACAATTCTTACCATATCGTCCACTTGGGCAGGGACTATTGCAATCTGCTCCAAAATATCCCTCATAGCAAGCTGTAGCAATAGACTTGTTCATAATTATATGTGATATATCTTAATTAATACGTATATCTCCATTTCTTAGAATTTTTTTATCATTTAATGTTTCAAGTGTAGGGGCTTTATACACATACTTACAAACACATTTTTCAAGTGTATGATTCCATATACGTCCATATGAACACAGCAATCTACCCTTTCTGAAACTTGTAAGAATCAAACTACAATGAAATTCATGGATAAAATTGAGACATTGTTTAAAAAATAAAGCAATATGGAGTTTTCAAAATCATCAGTTTCTCATTCTTTAAAGATCTTTCTCAAAACAATACATAATAAATCGAAAGAATGATTAACCCATTGCCATGCTCAATGTTACAGACAAAAATTGTGGTGAAAAACAAATGCATGTCCCAGAACAGCATTGTCACTTTTTCGATGAAAAATAGTGAAAAATACACAATGTATGTCCGATTGTTCCACTACATGTATTACATTTTAATCATCTATATCGAATGTTCATAACTGTCTTCCTTCCGCGTTGATATTGAAGTGGATTGATACAGGAACAGATAACTTGTACTATGCAATTTAAATTCCTTATAGAGCAAATACATTATGATAACGTTATCTGGCAAATTCCTTCATATAGTGACTCTCTCTTTCTCTCTTTCTTTAAAACATGTAAAAACCAAACACTTTATATCGATAATCTATGCATATAAAAAATCCTACTAAAAGTATTGATCTCAAATAGAAGAATTTTATTCATTATTCAAGCCAATTCAAACAACAAACACAAAATTTAGTTAAAGTAATAACAAAGAAACACAAAACAGGAAATAAACTAAACTAATCTGTATTTTTCCTCAGAGAAAAATTCCGAGAATAACATGCTTGAATAAGTATTTTGAGAAGAGTAAATCAGTGAATTTTATGAATTTAGTATTAATATTGCTTAGAGCTCATCCTTATTAAACAGTCTAATAATTGTCATGCAATCAATTGATGCTCTCGTCATGCTACATGTACAGATGCTTTATGTAATAAAAAAGATGGAGATAACAAACAGCGATCGATCTCTTAAAAGTTACGAACAATAAAATTCTATAAATAGGGCATAAGCATCCCCTGTTGACTGGTCAGACCCACCGTGAGCCCTTTGTATTGATTAAGAAGACGGAACATTCTGTAGTCAAACTCAATATAAAAACAGGGGTCGAACAATAGGTATAAAACAATTCATGCAAAATACGACCTAATTAAAGATTATTATATAGCTAATGCTAATAAATAATGCGTAATGAAAAGATACCAAAAGTATAGAGAATTTAAGCGTTTAATCTCTTGGCGTTTTATTGAACGCTGAGATTGCAATACAAACACAAGTATGCCCCGAAACATTCCGAATGCGAGCTTTCAGTATCGAACACCCCGTTATAAACAAAAATGCCGTCTGTCAACCGCTGAACGGCAACATTTATGATGGGTATAGCTGCAGAACTGAAGCTCTCCGAAAAAAAAAAAAATATTGACAGACCGGAGAGGCACAGTGCCACCTATTGAAAAAGTGTATATTTATTGCACACAAAAAATACCCCGTTTCTCGATTTATTTCGCCGGTTTTTTTTTTATTATTATTCAAAATGTCATCTCAAAATATTACCAACTGTGTGATCCTAACATATTCTTTTACTATTGCAACATTCCTTTTAATATCCCTTCTGGACTTGAAATTGAGAGCATCAAAAATTTCGCCTATCCATACTGCCATTTTGGGTCGCAAGATAATAGATTTTTTTTTTTTTTTGTTATAGATTTCTGAATGTATTTTTCGAAAACAAATTTAGAACATGTCCTCCGCAAAATAAACTAAAATTAAAACTGAAGCTTTTATAAATAATTTATTTAATTTGTTGGAATCAGTGATCCCAAATGGGCATGAGCAGCAAAAAATCTTTCATGGTTAATTATCTTTATGGGAAAAACTTTGCATGTCACCGACATTTAATAATAATAAATATGATTGTAATTCAACATTTAAATAATTCTTACCACAACAGTCTTGTTTATTAAAAATCAAAACTCTATCCACAGTACTGGTGTTTTTAAGACTGACTTTCAGCCAGGGGTTTATCTGAACCTGGGCGTTACCTATGTTAAGATTGTCGCCTGTTCCACGTTCTGTTATTCCATCTCTTGCATTCAATATGGCATGACCAATGTCCCGTTACACTGAAATTGCTCTAGCTGTCCTTGTAATTTTTGTGATTGATATACAGTATCATTAATTAAAGCAGTAATATGCATGCAGTGTCAGGAATTCAACAAACATTTTATTATTATCTGTTTAAAAGTCATTTTGTACAAATTGAAGACAGAGTTCTAATTTGCGCGAATTAAAACATTCTCTATTACATATGACGGGGAAAAACTATTTTATATACATAAATCTGTGTATGTATGTGATTTCTGATAAATTGTGTGTGTGTGTCTGTACGTGTGAAAACTTGAACAAGGCTCTGTTTGAAAGCAAACTCAAGTAAACGTTGTAAAAGAATTATCTTTGAACATCTCAACAAAATAAAATTATGCTCACTTTTAATTTGTGCGCATGCGCATCTCTAGGAGTTTATTTAGAAACGCTCGTAGAACCAGTGATTTACGGGAAATTTATCGTGCGTTTTGCACAATGGTGTATGCTTAATTAAAGGATCATTTTTTGTTAATAAGAAAAACCAGATACATTTACAAAAAGAATATAAAATATACAATGATTTATACTTTGCAGTCCAAGGATTGACGAACCAATCACCTGAGGTTTCTTGCTGTTTGGTAGGAATCCGTTTTACATTTTTAAATATTTTAAGTTTTACATTTTTCGAATTCAAAAATCTAGATCTTTAGCAATTTTTCTTATAATGTGTCTTTTTGGCAAAAAGGATATCAGTAAAATCCTAAAGTCTTTGTCTACGCAGTTAAGCGTTCAGATATGGAAGCAATATGCAATTTCCATTGCGGCATATCACAAAAGTTGATCATCAAAACCATCAATAAGCTGCCTTTATTTGAAAAATCTTGTACTGGATACACGTAAGCAACCCTCAGGAGCATTTAATGACAGTCTATTGAGGTAATTTTCCTGACTACATACACAATTTTTATATAGCTTACTTCTCCAAGACATTCAATAACGTTGTCATTTTTTGGAAGTGATTTAATCAACTCCTCATAGTCAGTGGACCAGGGCGCATCAAAAATGCAGCATGTTGGGAAAATTGGAGAAAGGTGAAAATTACAATTTTAATCAACAAACAGCAGGGTGTAAAGCTAAAAAAATGTAATGTAGAATCTCGGTAAACAACATGACTAAATATTTATTTAAGAGAATGGATTCACAGGTACTGCAAAGAAAAAAAAATATATCGTATATATTCTAATTTCAAGACAGGAAATTCGCTCCTAAAGAAGCAAAGATACGTCATCTTCATCAGTTTTTAGATTTGTACGTAATTTATCTCCATTACATTCCATACTATACAGAGCTTTTTTCACTATTGTTTTTTTAATATGGTAGATCGAGTACGTCAACTTAGATTAAACCATATGTATAACATCCCTCATGGCTGTGCGCCATCTTATCTAGGTAATAATTTTACTCTGAGTTCAGCTGTGTCTTTACGCAACACCAGACCACCATCTAGTATTTTTTTTATACCTCATGTAAAAGCATATCAGGCAGACACATGTTTATTATAATGGCATTACGGATTTGAATTTTTAACCAGCTTCTATTAAATGAACTAAAGGAAAGAGTAACTTTAAGAACAAGTTGAGATTTTTTATCTTACAAAAGGGTATTTTAGAACATGAAAGTGATATGTTTCACTACTAATTTATAAAACATATCATTATATTGATACTACATGTTTACCCATCAATGTTGTCATGCTTAAATCTAATTTGATGTTTACGCATGCTAAAATTATTGCACCAAACAATTTATATAATTATTGATAACCTAGTTAATCAGTAGAAACTACTGTATAAAATTGCGTCAGATGCGCATATGATTCAATTCAAATTATTTCGATCAACTTATATGAACAACACATATATGGATAGACATAACCATGACAAGCACAACCAATTTACGGAAAGGTCCTGTATTAAAATTTACAAGATAAAAATTGTTTCAACGCACCCTTCATAGCATTAATAAACAACTCATTGCCTAAATCTGTCATGTGAACACCATCTGTGCGGAACAAATTCCTTTGATTAGCTGATATATCTTGGTATCTAATAGCTGATCCATCTAATTTATTTAATACAAAAGATGCTATTGAACTGTTGATTCTCCGCCTACATTTTTCTCCTTCTAAGGTAGCTACAACATTTGGTCTCATATTTTTTGCAAGATATGAGACCAAATAATGATGCAGTTTGGTAATCGCTCTTTAATTTTTGCTAAATTAGCCTTTATCATCATTTGCATACCTCTCAAAGTGTTGTGTTGTTGTCCAATGTTGTTCCCCCCACAGTGAATAATATTGATATCTGGGGCTTTGTTACTAACTAATAAAAAGTCTAACGTAGGGTTTAATTGCTCCCACACCATTCCGCGAATTCCATGCCACACTATCTTTGCTTGGCCTAATCCCAGGTCCGATTGATTGGATTTGACTGCATAGCTATGTGCCCAATGTAGAATGGAAGATCCTATAATCCAAATGGCCACTGTAGAAAATGAATGCAAGTAAATAAATCAAACTTTAAGGAGGAGAAGGACCTTGAGCTGAAACAATACTTGTCATTCAATTTTTTTCATATTTTGTATATTTCTAATTAAGTATGTCCCACATATCTTAAAGCATTTATATCATTAGGTTTCTAACCTTATTTTGGAGATATTGATTGACAAATACTATGCCTTACAGTATCTAAGTGGAGTTTTAATTC